GTGCAGCTCAGCTTCCGAGGTGGGCGCTGGGCGGGCGGCAGGGAGGGGCGGGCCTGCCTCCCCCCGCCGCCTCACGCTTCCCCTCTTCTTCCCAAGGCTTCACCCAGAAGACGAGGAAGATCTGCTGCGGCCCGGAAGCCGTCTTCGGGGAGGTGAGGGCAAGCCGGCGGGCGGGGGGAGCCCCGGGGCTCCTCCGCAGATGTCGCCCGTGGGACAGGGATGGGACGTGGAAGGGGGCCCCGGGAGAGCAGGGGGCCGGGCAGTGTTCCTCCGGCAGCCCCGGAGCCTGGGGAAAGAGGAGAAAGTTTGGGGGGCAGGAGGGACCTTCCCCTCTTGCTAGCCGCAGGGGACCAAGGTGGGGTGTCTGCTGAATCACAGCCTCAGGGCGCAGCTTTGCGAAGTGCCTGAGCCTGGTGGTTCCTGCCCTGGGCGAGCTCTTCTCCCCAGGTACCTCTGCACCTGCCCGTGCCCCGTCTCACCCCACAACCTGCCAACTCGGGGACCTCAGCACCCTCCTCTTTCCAGGGGGATGATGCTCTGGCTGCCTTAGAAGCTGACCTGCGGTCCTGTGCTGCCGGTGGGGCTCTCGCTCCCCTCCCCATCCTTCCTCCACTCCCAGCTGCAGGGTCTGCCCTGGCCAGCAGGAAAGTAACTCCCACCACGGCAGCTTTTTGTCACACCCGTTGGCTCAGTCACTGCAGGGGAGACGAGCTGGCCACCAAACATTCGAAAGTGTGGCTGGGAATGAACTGTCATCTCTTCCCGCTCTGCTGTTTGTAGCTCTTCCACTGGCCTCACTATGGGAAGCTGGTCATGGGAGAAGTGCTGTCCATTAAGGTTTACAACTGCAGCAAGGTTTTCAGTAACAGGTAGGTCCTTTGGTTGTTCGGGTGACCAGCAGAGGTGGGGGAAGAGACGTACTGGGCTTTAAAATTACGTACTGGGCTTTAAAATTTCCTACTGGGAGTAGAAAATGTTTTTATTGGAAATTTGATGGAAGGAAAATCAGCAGGATATAAGTTACAGAAGAAAGATGGAGCTGGTTTCTTCTGGTGGGGCAGCAATGTTGTATGTATCAAGTTAAATAAGGGGAATGATTGAGTTGTGCCAGCAGTTACAGAGACTACCTAAAGATCCAGATCAGACTCCCAGGTGGCACAAGGGTAAAACAGGGCCCTAAAAATAGAACTACAGGGGCAGGACTTGCAGCAGAGAGGGGTCCTGCTCTTACCCTGTAGATCCATGTGTTGACTGGTGACCATGCTGCACCCAAATTCAACATACCTATCAGTGGCAAAAAGCCCTGAGCCTGTGGTAGTATGGCTTAACCTTTAAAAAAGCCAGCAATTTAAATTTAAGGGGTCAGCTAGAATTTAAAATGCTTCTAGGTGGCACAGACACATTGCTGTGAACTCAGTGGCTGTTCTAGCAGTTGTAAAACACTTCAGGGAAAGCCAAGAATAGAGCTGACAGGTTGAGTAGTGGTGGTGGAGCAAGCAAGGGAACAGAGGCACATCCTTCCAGGATGTGTGGATGCAGGGAAAGATGCTAACTTTGATAAGCAAAATATATGAACTGAAGAAAGATCAACAGGAACAACTTTGTAGAGGCAGCTAATAATACAGCCTTTTCAAAGCCATCACAAGCCTGCTGGAGAGGGTGTGGAGGAAACAGATGAGTACAGCACATGTGAGACAATTAAAGATAAGGCCAGAGCAGAAAATGTGGCTGAACCTTGTGTCACTGTTTACTGGATGTTTTCCTTATGGGAGTTGGATCAGAGGAATGTCTCTGACTGAAATGTCAATAGAAACTGCTATAGGACAAATAGATAAAACAAACAGTAACAAATCACCAGGACCTGATTGCGCTGGCGAAGAATTCCAATGGGAAATGACTGGGCTGGCACTGATGGCATTTATCCACACACCTCCAAGAGTGATGGCAGGTGACAGACATTTAAAAGCAGGTGGTCAACACACTGGGATGATCAAAAATAAGTAGAGTATGGAAGGACAGAAGGGAAAAATTTGTTGTGCTGCTGTATTGACCTGTGGTCTCTGGGCTTCTGCATGTGCAGCCTTTCTGTGGCAGCAGCACAGAGCTGGAACAGCTGGGGAAGACGGGCATGAGCAGAGAGGCTCCTTGAAGGTAGGAGACTAGACAGGCTCTGCATCTCAGAGAAGAGGGAGGTGAGAGGGAATATGGAGATCAGCAGCTCACAGCTGAAATGGAGTGACTGAGGAATGATTCCTCCTGTCTTGGTCCTGGGCAGGCAGTGAAATGCTTCGATGGTGGTTTCCAGCAGGCAGTAGGAAGCTCAGCTTCATGCAGGGCTTAGCTCGGCTGCTGGCAGCTGCCATGGGGAGATGGAGGCAAACATACAAACAGGCTTCAGATAGCAGTAACACAAGGTGGGGTTAGGAGCGGCTGAATGAGATCCCGTGTGTGTTACTACCACTTGAAGGGAGCCAGATGACCCTTCCCTGGGAAGAAGCCCCTTTGGAGTTGGTAAATTTTGCCCAACTTTCTGCAGACATCCCTGCAGCCGTGGCTTTATGTCCTATTTCTGTGTTTCCTTGTGTGGAGCCTTTGCTTGCCAGTTTTGTTTGGGAAGAGTAACCCAGCTCTGCTGGGTGCCCAAATGCAGTCTGGTTCCCTTGAATCCCAGCTCTGCTGAAGGGGAGAGCTCCTTCATGCTTAGTGGGACTGGATCTGCACAAGCCTTTAACCATGGATGGCAGCTTGATTGCAAGCAGCTGCCTGGGCATGACTGGGGTGGAGGCACGACCTGCTGCAGGGTCAGTGGGTCTCAGGTATTTTGGCTGCCAGACTCCCTGTGGAAAGTGCTGCAACACTTCACTGCATCTTGGAGGGGCTGTGAGCAGGAGAGTGGAGATCCTGGTACTCTCTTCCCCCAGGGTGTAAGCACTGATGCTATGTACAGTATTGCTGTAACCTCTGGTTTTGTTCCAGGCTTCTTGGTACCCTTGTCCTCAGCCTTCAACACCTGAGGATGTCTGGGAGGCTGATCCTCCGGGAGGCCCTTGTTGACAGGAACCAGAGAGTCACTGGTGTAAGTCCTCTGCAGGCAGCCTGGCCAACAGTGATCAAGAAAGCTTTGTGGTAAACGTTGCATGGCACTTCCCAGGTGGATTTCGGGCTGAGGGGGAGCCCAAGGTGCTGCTCTGAGCCCGGGAGTGTTGCTGTTTGTGCTCTCTCTGTGCAAGGGTGCAGACACTTTACACCCATCAAGCATCCAGAAGTGTGGGGGGGTGGGCTGGGTCCTTGGAAACCTGCTGAGGTCCTGAATGAGCAGAGAGAGGCTTAGTAAAACCTCCCCAGGTCTGGGCGGCGGATGTAGAAAGTGGTATTTCATCTGTTTCTGGCACCACGCAGTGCATGGGTGTGGGTGTGGGCTGCTGCGGGGTGTGAAGCAGAGGGGAGCTGATGGGGTGAGGCTGAAGGTGGCAGGGGGTCTCGGGACCCCTGGTGAGCTTTTGGGTTAAACACCAGTGCTAACTGGATGGCTTAACTGTGGTCTGGGGCAGTGTGAATGGCTCTGACACCTGCCTGTCCCTCTGCTCTGCCCTGTGTGTCCCGCTCCCCTCCTGCCCTCGTGCCAAGGCTCACTGGGCCCTTCATGCCGGTGGGAAATGAACACAAAAAATGAGCCATTTCCTGCCAGCTGGGTGTGCACGCATGGTTTGCTGCAGGGCTTGGTGCCAGGGCTGCAGGCAGGGCGGGAGGAGGAGAGGTGGAGGTGGGCAGCCCCGCCGTGTGCTGCACCCCTGTTTGCCCTTCCCACAGACAGCCTGGCTCATGGTGGCATGTGGATGCAGCTCTGCGGCCACCAGGCTGTGGGCCCCAGTGGCACAGGTAGAGCCTTCCCGTGTTGCTGAGCTGGCTGGATCAGGGAGCAGGTTCAGGTGGAAACTGAGTGTTTGCAGGATGATTTTTAGCCTGATGGAGTTCATTGCATAGACGTTGGTGCCAGCAAAGGGACAGGGCCTAGCCCGGTCCCTGGGCAGCGCTCGGTGCTGGCAATGGTTTGAGGGGACCGAGCAAGGGGCACTTACACCACTGTAAGGTCAGAGCTGCTCTGTGGCCCAGCCCTTTCCCCTGCCTGCCTCTTCCCTTGTGCTAACAGCAGCACTCATGCTGATGAGCTGCTCTGACCAAAAACCAGCTGCATTCGGTTTTGCCAGGTTAGTTTTTGATTGTGCAGAGGGGGACAGATGTAGAGCAGGCAAGACTGGACACCCATCCATCAGCTCATCTGGGAAGAGACATGTCCCCAAGGGAGAGACGCTGTTTCGACGGCTGCTCCTTTAGCAAAGTGGGAACAAAGCCCTTCCTGCTATTCCAAGTCCTGTTCTCTGAGACTTGAGTTATTTGCACCCTTTTTTCTCCTGGTGGTTTGAAGGGTTTTTATCAGAGCCTTGGCTGTTCACCCAGCTTTATCTCAGGCTTCTGTATCCATCCAGCCTTTGCTGCTGCCTTTCCCAGCCACTGTACTACCATTTTCTTGGGCTGTATTTCTCCTCTCAGAAACACATGTTTTCCAAGGACTGAGCTATGAATCCAGCTTGTACATCCCCTTCAGCTACTGAGAAGTGACACCCTTCGCCTCTCCAATTTTAACCTCTGCTGGGAAATTCTTGTGTGTCTGTGTGGTTTTGAGATCAGGCTGGTCACCTGCAGACCAAGTATTTTCAGGCTTGTGCCAGCTGTGCTGATAGCCATTGTGCCCCATACTTCTCTGGACATGCTTTTTCATCACTAACACTAAGTCCATGTCTTTTGTGAGGCAGACTCTGGGTGTGTTTATGTCTTCTGTGGTGTTTTAAACCAAGATGCCATGCCTGGGGATGCTCTGCCAGCTGTCTCGTGCCTTCCACAGAGAGACTGCTCCAAACCCCTGTCCATTAGTTTGCTCTGCTGCAGGGCTCTCCCCACCTTCCTTGTCAAAAGCGCCCCAAGACAGCTCTCAGGGGCCTCTCCGTGGTATATTTTAGATTTGGAAACTTGAACCAGCTTTTATTCAGTGAATCATGGAGTTTGGGAAGCTCAAGGGGAGGGAGTTTACTTATCTCTAGCTTGTTGATGGAAGCAGACAAGGAGTATGTGGAATAAATAGACTTCTTGTGGGGTTGTGACCCTTTTTCTTCCTCTTTTTTCCACCAGCATCTCACTTCTTTGTTTCCTGCATTCTCCCCTTTTATGTGACATTTCTCCAGTTGTTTTGTGGCTGCCAAGCTCTCGGGCAGCTTAATTTTCTGTTTGTAGATCTACATTGAATTGGATTTGCGCTACCAGCCTCCAGATGGCTCAGCTGGGACCTGGGTTGAAGAGGACTTTGCCTATCAGATGAAGGACAGGTATTGAAATCCAGGGAGGAGCAAATTTCCAGGCAGCTTGTACAGCTGCCTTTGCCAGTGGCAGCGTTTGGGGTGCAATCCAGCCTCATTTGCTCTCCACCTTTGGCTAGGCTGATGCATCTCTGCTCTACAACAGTGATAAGTGAGCAGGGCTCTTGGAAAGAAAATATTTTGTCTTCACAAAGAGCCTGGGACTGCAACAACCCATTGCACACTGGGAGTCCTTTCAAACCCAAGAGCATTTCTGCAGCCTTTCTGGGAGCCTTTCATCAGCCTCTCTGGGAGCTTCCTGATGGGAGCAAGACTTTGTGATTGCAAAGTTTTAGAGAGCGTGGCTTTGTCCTGTAGAGACCCCAGGCACCCTGCACATAGGTGGTGCCAAAAGCTGGGGGAGATGTGGGTGGCTGGATGGACAGAATGACAGGCGGCAGTAAAGCCTGGGGAGTGTCACTTCTGGAGTGCCAGAGGCAAAGCAGTAGGCACTCAGGGTGGACAGTGGAAAAACTCTTAGGACGCTTGTGTCCCTGCCAAGAGCCAAGCAGAAGCATGGCTGTGGCACTGTTACTTAAATGAATCAGTGAACAGCTGTAACAGACTTGTTTTTTCAGCAAAGCATCTCTTTTTCTTACAGTTCAGAGTTAATCATCCACAATCCTGGATTTGAGGAGCTGGAGTAAGTAGCCCTGCTTGAGTGTATCAGCACACCCTCCCGGGTGGTGGGAGTGCACAACCTGCTCGGCAGGGCTGGCGATGCGATGGGTGATGGGGGGTGGGTTTGCAGGGCAGCTGAGGGACCGAGAGCGAGTGAACTGGACAGGAGGGCCGCTGCACTGGGCAGGAAGCTGGCAAAAGGCCTGGAGACTGATGAGGAAGAGGAGGAAGAAGATTTCTATGATGTGTCTGAGGTGGAGGTCTCAGGCGTTGTCTTCAGCCCTGTGAAGAGGTACCCATGGCATGCTCTTCTCTCTTGCCCCTTCTTGGGCCCTGGGGTGGGAAGTGCCAGCTCATGGCAGAATCCTGCATGTCTTGGCATTCTGCTTCTGCAAAATGCCACAAACCTTCAATATCCAATGGCCCCAAACAGAGACTGTTGGGGATTTGCTCATTCCCAGGGCAAGGGTTTCCATTGCTTCCCTTGGTGGGGGCTTGCTCAGGTCCATGGAGATGAAGAGACCTGCTCACCTGGGTTGTTTTTCTCTGCAGCCGCTCCAGACTTTGCTCCGCACGGGACCTCTTTGCCACCCCAACCCCACAGAGCTTCCAGGTACTGCAGAGTTGGGTGCGTGTCCTTGCAGCCACCTCTGGCCTTGCAGCCGGTCCCTCACTGCCCTGCTACAGGCCGAGGCTTCTCCAGTTGCCACATACCCCAGCAAGGCCTCTAGCATGAAGACATGTTGCTTTGTGTGGCTTCCCTGAGCAAGGTGTAAGATTCCCTGAATGAATTGCATCCATAAGTGCTGTCTTCAGCATTAGCCAGCCCAGAGCAGAAATTCTCTGTGGGCCATGTATTTAGCTATGGATGTACAGGAGAAGGGGATCAGTGTGGCAGCCACATGTGCCACTGCAAAACACTGCCTGAGCAGAGCTTTGGAGAGCACCTGGGCAGGGCTTCCCCAGGGCTCTGCCTGAGTCCCCAGGACCATCTGTGGGACATGGCTGGGGGTGGATGGCTGCTGCAGAGGGCTTTCTTGGAGGTGCCAGGAGGCTGGTATGAAGCTGTGGCTCTGGCCGACGCTCTGACATCAGGTTTATTTGAAACCACTGTGAAATGGAGTTCAGTCCCATCATTTTCCCCTGCAGATTTCAGGGCAGGTCTCCTAGCCTGGCTATGGATTTATATCCTTCTCTGGTTCTAAGTAAACATGGACTCACATTTTGGTCTCCTACTTTTCAGGGCTGGGTCCTCTTGACCAAGCAGGAAGCTTTTGTGGGGGTGGAATTTCCTACCATCATTTTCTGGAAGCTATTATTCCTTACCTTAGCAACTGCCTAGGTGCTTGTACTGAGAGAAAATGTGAGAACATTTCTTCCACATCTCAGACTCATAAACAGTCACAGCAAATGAGACAGTCACATTCCAGTCTCTCCAATGGTGTCCATCCCAGTAGGATGCAAAGAGAAATATTGGCAGAAGATACAAAAAGCATCTTCTCCAAGATGCTCTGTAGACCCCACCATGTGGGAGCGGTGGGTTTGCATCCCCTTAGGATTATGAACTGAGTGGGGACAGTGCTGCTGGGGAGGCCATTTTTGCTAAAGGTGCTGGGGATTTAACATTTCATTTCCTTGCTTGTCTGAAAGAAACAAATATCTCAAATACCATTTTGGTTTGTCCTGGCCATAGCAGATTCCAGCAGCCATGCTCTTGCCTGCCCTGAGTGTCCACCCCTATGGCGAGAGAGCTCTGCACATTTATGTACTGGTATTGCTGAGACAAGCTCAGGATGGAGCTGGAAACGAGGAGAGTGCTGATCCAAAGGTCTTCTCCCACATTTTCTCAGGTTGGGATTAATATCATTGAAGCGCAGAAGCTGGTGGGGGTGAACATTAACCCCTTTGTGGTAGTCAAGGTTGGAGAGGAGAAGAGGCACACGGTGACACAGAAGTCAACAAACTGCCCTTTCTACAATGAAGTATGTGATACGGACAGAGGCTCTGTCTTTGTCCTACCATTGTCCCAAGTGGTGGGGCCATCCTTGCAGGGGATGCTTGGGGTGCTGCTCTCTCAGGCAGAGGTGCTTGTGTAGCCATGTTGGGAGCCTGGGGCTCAGCTGTTTTGCTCTTCTCTTGCAGTATTTTTTGTTTGAATTCCATGAGCCAAGGGACGTTTTATTCCACAGACTCATAGAGATCTCTGTAAGTATGTCCTCCTCTATATCCTTCGTCAGTAACTAGCACAGCACAGTGCTTCTATGTCTAGATGATGGGAGTGATGAGAAAAGCGAGGGTACCATTGCCAGCCAGGATTTCCAGCCAGAGGCTTAGAATCACAGAATCACAGAATTGTCTAGGTTGGAAAAGACCTTGAAGGTCATCCAGTCCAACCATTAACCCAACATTAACAATTCCCAACTCCACCAGATCCCTCAGTGCTATGTGGACCCGACTCTTCAACCCCTCCAGGGATGGGGACTGCCCCCCTGCCCTGGGCAGCCCATTCCAACACCCAACAACCCCTTCTGCAAAGAAATGCTTCCTAATATCTAGTCTAAATCTTCCCTGGTGCAACTTGAGGCCATTCCCTCTTGTCCTATCACTTACTACTTGGTTAAAGAGGCTCATCCCCAGCTCTCTGCACCCTCCTCTATGTGCCCAGCAGAGAGACCAAAGGGTCTTCCTCTGGCCACAGTGGGGCAGAGACCAGCCCTGCTCTGAGCTAGCACTGGGCAGTGCTGCCTTCCCATCTCCTCCGTGTCAGGTTTTCTCTGCATCCAGTTGCTGAAGTAGGGTCTCTGGGGCAGTTTCTTGCCCATTGCCTTGTGACCTTGCTATTTTGGGGGTGATTTCCTGCAGGTTGTGGAGGCAATTGACTGGGTGAGGGGAGCTCAGCAGTGCTTGTAGAAAAGTCCAGGCAGGCAGAGAGCAGTCTTCAGAAATTCCCTGGCCCAAAGCGCAGGAGCTTCTCCAAAGTGCAGGGGTTTCCCCAACACATGGGGCTTTTCTGAAGATAGCTAAACCCAGCCAGCACCCCCTTTACCACACAGTCTTCAGTGCTTTCCCTGTGAAAGGCTGCATGCCTCTTCTGCTGGTGTGGGTTCAGCAAGCCCTGAGCAAAGCTCAAGTTTTTGGAGGGACAGTAGCCTGGTGGGTGCACGGGTCTTCCCTGACCCAGCAGGATATGGGCATAGGAATCTCTGTGGGAGAGCAGGTCTGCCCTTGGTCTGTTCTAGGGTTCTGTCTTATCTGGGGCTGGCAGAAGAAGCTGGATTGGTTGCACATGAATATGCCTTGGCCTGGGTTTGACTGAGGGCTGTGGGCTGGTGGGCTCTGTGAGAATGTTTGGGCAGGTTTGTCCTAAGGCTAACTCAGATGGGTTGGTATGCACAAGGAGCTCGCAACAACTATCTGAGCTGTGCGTGGGAACGGGCATCTCTTAACAGTCCTCCTCAGTGATGTCTGGACATGTCACCTGGCTGCCTACATCTCTTGGTGCTCAGGGGGATTTGTGCTGTCTGCAGGTTTTTCACTCAAAGAACATACCGTTTCTGGAAATGTGCATAGGAACATTCAAGATGGACGTTGTGACAGTGTACAGCCAACCAGGTATGACCAACTGCATTGCATGCCTGCTCCCTGACTATGGCTTTGTCTGAATCTGATGTTCCCTTCATGCTTTGCTGGGTCTGGTGAGGACCCTGGCTTTAAAGTGCTTAGTTCACATGAAGACCAGTACTTGTTTCTCCTGCTGGCTGTCCGAGTGCTGGTGACACCTCCTGCACCTTCAGAGGCAGGGTCAGGGCAATCTTTGTGCAGACATAGTTGGGATGTGAAATGGTAACCTGGGTTCTCCACAGGGAACTCCTTCCCTTCTCTCTCAGATCACAGGTTTTTCCAGAAGTGGGCTGTTATCAGCGACCCCACAGACACCCGGGCAGGTGTGAAAGGCTTTGTGAAGTGCAACATCTCCGTCACTGCACGTGGGGATGTTGTGACCTCCCTTCCCACCTCCTCCAGCAGCCGCGATGAGGACATTGAAAGGTAGGTGCAGTGTGCTCTTGCATGGCCCTGGTGAAAACAGTCAGGTCTCTCTTCACACTACCTTTTTTTGCCCCCTTTTTCTCCTCTTCTGATGGAGAAAGACCTAGGGAAAGAGACCTGTGATGGGTCAGGATCCAAACTTCCTGCCAGTCAGGGCATTTCCCATCCTTGTGTTTCCTGGGCTCCTGGAGAGGACCAGAGCATGAATTTGTCTTTCAGGAACCTGCTGCTGCCTAAGAGAGTCCCTGCAGAGAGACCCTGGGCCAGGGTCTGCATTAAGCTGTATCGTGCCGAGGGCCTGCCCAGCATGAGCGCGGGCATCATGGGTGGTTTCTCCAAGATCATAGGGGAGAAAAAAGTCTTTATTGACCCATACGTGCAGGTCTCATTCTGTGGGCAGCAGGTGAGTCTGTTGGGGGGTCTGTTTGGGGCCAGGCGGATCCTCCCTTGGCAGCGTGCACTGGGCTGGTGCTGCCAGGAGCCTCCCTGGGACACAGCAATCCCACTAGAGATAAGCTGGGAGAGCCCAAGTCTTGCTGTCTTGGGCAGTGGCCTGAGCCATGTGGATGTGTGGTGTCTGGTTGAGGAGGCTGTCGTGGGACTTCTGTCTCTGCAGAGAGCTGTACGGGAGACGGCCCCAGCCCTGAGCACAGCCACTAGCTGTGCAGGCAGAGATTTCGTATCCCTAAACATAGGGAGAGGGTCAAATAAATCTTGTATAGTAGAAGTCCTCTGTGGCAAGCTGTGGCAAGCTCGCCACCCTTGGGAAAGTTTACTGAGCTGATGACCCTTGTCTTGCACTCAAGCCCAGGGTTTCTGGTCCTATCTTATCCATCAAGATGAGATTCAGTCCCTAGGAAGCCTGGTAGGCCTGGGGGTGCTCCCAGGGGACCCTGCCACACCTCAGGGTCTGGTGGTGCTGCCTGCTTGCTTCCAGAGTATTCCTTGGCTGTGCAGGGCACAGCCGAGGTCTTGGGCAAGCCCCCCTTGATGAAGCACAGTTGCTGGGATGGGGCACAAGCAGGGACACTGCCACCTCCAGAGCCTGCCTGAAACCATCTGCAGGTGGGGCAGGAGGACACGTCCTTCCCAGAGAGGCTCTGGCAGCTGGCTGGGACTGTGTGGCTTTCACACCTTCTCCTTCTCAGGGGGAAACATCGGTGGAGACCAACACCACTGAGCCTGAGTGGAATGAGCAGATCAGCTTCATTGAGATGTTCCCACCTCTGGCCAGGAAGATAAAAGTCCAGGTGCTGGATGATGCCAATGTTGGTGATGTGGCCATTGCTACCCACTACATTGACCTGCAGCAGATCTCAGACATTGGCAGGAATGGTGAGGCCTGGCACGGCTGTCCCCAGAGCAGGGCATCCTGAACAGCCTCATGCCATGCATGCTCTGCTTGGCCATGGGGGTCTCCTGGAAATGGGAAGCAGGAGTGGCTGGAGGACACTCACATTCCTGTGTCCTGGGATGTCTTCTTGGGGGAAGGTCTCTCTGCAGCAGCACGCTGTGGTATAATTAGACCCTGTTCCTGTTGCTGCAGGCTTTAACCCCATGTTTGGCCCAGCCTGGGTGAACCTGTATGGCTCCCCCCAGAACTCAGCTCTGCGGGACATCCACAAGGACCTCAACGAGGGCATGGGCGAGGGGATCTTTTACCGTGGGCGCATCCTCATGGCCATCACAGTGGAGATCTTCAGTAGCCCCAGTGTCGCAGAGAGGAAGCTTGGGGACAAGACGAAAGGTGCCCTAAGCAAACTGAAACTGAAGAAGAAAAGTAAGAAATCCAAGGAGAAAGCCAAAGAGCTGAGCCAGCTGCAGGGAGAGGAGGAGTCTGGGGGTTCTCAGGAGGCCGAGCAGCCCGGGGAGGTTATTGTGGAAGTGGAAGAGCTTCATCCACTCCCTGAGGTGAGTCCTGCCGCGCTGGCATGGCTGACCCATGCCATCCTGCAGCATGCATGGGCCTTTTGAGGAAGAGGCAGTAGGATCACTTGCTGGTGTAACAGTGCCAGAGCAAACCCAGCCTGCCCATTGCTGGGCCATCCAGGGCTCTCTGAGCCTCTGCAAGGGCCAAGGCCACACCCTCAGCCTCTCACAGTAAAGCTGGAGCATCCCCACGTGTGCTGCCTTCCTGGTGCAGGATGGACTCTCACATGGGTGTTATTCCCAGGGCACAGCTGCCTTTGAGCGTTTCCTTTTTATCCCCTGGAGCCAGGGAGCTGTTATCTGCCTCTGGGTCTCTACTTGTCCTGGGAAAGGCAGGCAAGATGCAGCTGTGTTAGTACAGTAACCATCCCTTAACCTACAAACCTGTGCAGTGGCTTTACACAAGCACCATCCAAATCCTGGTGGCTCTGCACCAATCCCCTAGAATTTCCAAGAAAACTTGTCCTGTGTCTGGCAGCCCAGCGGTGGTGACCTCAGCAGCATCCCACTGATGTTCTTTGGGAGGGTTGGCAGGCACCAGCCATGCCCTGGTGCTCTCCAGATTTCTGCTGAGGCAGTGTTTTGGCATAGGAGGCTCTTGGGCTGATTTCTGTCTCCTTGCTCAGAATGCACTGGGAAGGAAAGAGGAATTCCTCCTCTTCGCTGCCTTCTTTGAAGCCACTATGATGGACTCCTCTCTCAGCTCCAAGCCTGTCAGCTTTGAAGTCTCTATAGGTGGGTATTCCCCAGAACCCTTTGTCCAGAAGCTACAGGAACAGTGTGAAAATCTATCTGACAGGCCATGTGAGCACTGCAGTACTAAGGTACCAGCCCTTACAAAGTTTGTGCCTCCAAAACAAGAACTCATGAAGGATGGGGGGTGAGGCCAGGGAGTGTGCACTGTGCTTTGTTATCCTAGAAGTCTGGATGTGCTCCTGTGGGATTGGAGATTTGCAGTATCCGTATGAACTGCCTGTTTGGGAAGAGTGGTTTGAAGCTCTCCTGAGAAGTGGGAGTGCCAAGTGGTAGAAGGGTTTGGAAGCAGAAAAGGGAAGCGGAGGAGGGGAAGCCAGGATGCTGGGCTTAGCCATGGTGCTGAGGGGCTGCAGCAGTGGGTGATGGGGAAACTGGTAGGAGAGCAGGTCCAAGCCCTCACCTGCTAAGCTGGATGGGTGGAGATGCTTGATGCTGAGAAGTCTTCCTGAGTGATTGCTGCTGACCCCAGTGTAGGAGTGTAGATGGCAATTAGCAGGCATTTGGGGGAGCTGGTGGAACTTGGTGGCAGGCACGAGGACTTCTTTGCATTGTCCAGCTCCCTCTCAGACCTCCTGGTTGTCCATGTGATGCTTGATGGTTGGATGCTACTGAACTGCAAGTTCCAAAAGCAGTGCATGCCCATGTGCTTCTTTTGGCAGGATGATTGTATTCTGATTTTGCAAGCGAGCAAACTTGTTTAACAGTGATCCCACTTGTCTGTTTGCTGTTCAATGCTTAACTTAAGGAAACTATGGCAAAGCTGAAGAGATTGTGACCAAAGTAGGGAGAAAAGTGGAAAAGGGAGAAGTGAAAGAAGAAAAGCAGCCTTTGCTGGACCCTGGTTCAGATGGTGAGCTGGATGTTGAAGTCCTGGCCCCAACTTCCGCAGCACTGAACAAGTCAGTGACGAAGAGCCAGAGACCAGAGCCCATGGAGTATGACAGGTGAGTCTTTGTCCTTTTTTCCCACCTGCCCTGGTCCTGTCCAGCTTCACAGGTTGGTTATTCCTGATACTTTTAAAGGTCTGCTCAACAAAGTGAGTGCTGTGCAGGTGTTTCTCCTCTTTGCAACCCTGCAGCTTGCCATGGTCTCACTGACTGCTGTTGCCCATTAGCCCTACAGGCCCTACAATGTCTGCTTGATGTGTGCAGGTGGCCAAGGACAGGGCCTAAGGGAAACTGTGACCCATCAGTAACAGCAGTCCTTTTTCTGGTTAACAAGCAGCATCCTAAGGGCTTGAATCCAGTGAGGAAGAAGAAGAGTACTCTGGCACATGCTGTCCTATTCTGGGCAGGCAAGACACATACACAAGCTCTTCTGGTGTTATGTTTGCTCTGGGAATGCTGCCTGGTTTGTCCCACAGGCCTGGCAATGTCTTGGTGTTTGCGTTGTGAGCTCTGTGCCTGCTACTAATCAGTCACATAGCAGCAAGAACTCTCTGCAGCATCCCACGCTCCCATCAGCCTCATTCATCTGGGCACGTGCTGCTCTTTCTGCTAGAAAGCCTGTGCACTAGTTTGGGATAGCAAAGGGCAGATTCAGCAGCTTGCATTCATGTCCGTGCTACAGGGCCCAAGACAAGCTGTTCTCTGTGAGGACGACAGAGCCCAGACACTGCCCCTGTGCTGGGTGTGCAAGGACCACATTGTGACATAAGTGCTTTCTGCAAACGGCAGCTCTACCCTTCTGTGCCTGTTGCCCTTTAGGTCATACAGCTGCCTGCCCATGATGCATGAGAAACCCTGCGTGTACGTGTGGAGCTACTGGGAGGATCACACCTGGAGACTCTGCATTTCCAACTGGATTGTCAAGCTGGCAGAGCGCCTGGTAGCGTGTTCAGGGTGTCTGTCTGTGGCATGGTTCTTCCTGGTGTGCTTTCCTTGTAGCACATGCAGTTGCTCTGTGAGATGATTGCATTAAACATCCTCACCCTGCCCCATGCGAGTCCATGTCTCTTGTAGGACTCAGTCCCACATGCCTGAAGGGCAGGTGGGACAGGGCAGTGAGTGCAGAGCTGCTGCTTGTGCTGTGCCACAGCCTGGTGGAGGGTCCTGGAGGTGTGAGTGATGCCATATCTGTGATAACAAACTCCTCTGCTGCCAATCCTGAGCTGCATGTGCACTGGAGAGATGCTGCTGCCAGTAGACTCGGCCTCAGGCTGTTATCGGTGGGGCGGTGTACAGTCTCTTCCAAGGGCCTCATCTTTCTGTTTAGGGCTTAAGAAATCCAAAAGCTGAGCTTGCTGGTGTGTTTCAGTGGCTGCTCAAGGACTGAGACAGAAGGTGTTTTAACAACCAGCGTTAAGGTTATTCCCAGGCTCCAGAGAGTCCCTGGTAGCACAGCACTGACCTGCAGCACTCTCGCAATCCCCAGCTCCGCAGAAAGGCACAAGCCATTTGTGGCAAACACATCCTTGCAATGTTTCACTCTGACCCCACAGCCAGGCACAAGCTTCTTGAATGTTGTGCTTTCTCCACAGGAGCAGGGGCTGGACAGTGTGGAGAAGCTTGTGAGAAGGCCGAAGGCTAAAGCAGAAGAGAGGCTCAGAGGAGTGCTGGAGGAATTTGTAGCTGGATGCAGGTTAGCAGATCATGATTTCCTAAGGTTTCTTGTTTTCAGGTTAGGGGGTCATGGCATGTTCTGCCTGGGCTGTGTGTAGCCTGCTCTCTTGTCCTCTTGAGATGGATGAGTGGAAGGAAACCAGGATGACTCGGGGAAAGGACCCTGTAGCTCTTCAGCCTTGGAGAGGAGACTCCAGTCCTGGGAAGCACGGGGACCTTGACATTCCTGGACTTCTGGGTGTTTCCTAAATGTTAGAACATTTCCTTCACTCTTTTCAATCATGAAGTTTCATCACTGCCACTGCCTGGTGGGGTCTTCAGTCCCCAGCCCTGTGATGGCAACAGTAGAGAGGGAGCTTCAGGTGCTGAGCTGGTGTACCTTCTGAATCACAAAGCTTGCAGAAGAGAGGGCATGGCAGAGAGGGTGGTTTTTGATGCATCTGAATTAGTACCAGGAAACTGGAGCTTGTGCCCCTGCTGCGTGAACTGTGCTCTGCCTGCTGGGTGCAGAGGATGTAGAGGATATGGAGCCTGTGCTGCTTTTCTCATTGCAGGCAATATTCACTCAGCGCAGAGAGAAAAACAATGGCATATCCAAACAACCTCGACAGATGTCGGATGAAATACCTGATGCGCAGCATTGTAAGCTGTGAGGCTTGGTGGTGGTGGTAGCCTGTGCGATCCCTGCTTTGGGGGGTGCTTCTGGAGGACCAGCTAGCATTAATGCTAAGAAGGAAACCCGGGGCTAAGACTCATGGTGTCAGTCATAGGCTTTTACTGCAGCATCTCCCACTTCTGCTCAGAGCAATAAAGCTTCCAGCACAGGGAACAGAGGCAGAGACTGGCCATAACTTTATGCAGATGCTGTGCCCTGATGCCATCCTTCCTCTGGGGCATGTGTGGCTGAGCACATGCATGTTACTGCCCCGTAGGTTCCTGGAGGCCTTTTGGTGCAGGCTATTCCTGCAGTCAGTTTGGGGGAGCTCACTGAGACCCACTGCCCCTAGAAACTCGGGCCATAAGCTAGGTACCTATCCAGCAGATCTACAACCAGCCAGCCATCTGCCTGTCCTTGGAGAGGGCAACATCTAGGCACTCATAATCCTGCAGACAAAGCCACCTCGCTGAATGAGAGCACAGTTACATACCCTCCAGCACAGCACAGCAGATCATGGCTGTAGTCATAGTACCCATCAATCTACGAATCTTTGAAAGACTGAACAAAATGCAATGACAGCAGCAGGAAGTAAAATTTAGGCACATCTGGGTCCCAGCTCCCTTCCCTCTGCCTCCTCACACATCATCACCTGAGCTATGGTGAAGGTACTCTGCTAGAGGATGAGAGGACCAGCCCAAGAGATGAGGCTTCTGGCCTTGTCAGTTTGCACTGTGAATTCCTTCTGGATTTATTATTAGGTTTGGTTCATCACAAAGTCACCTCTCAGATGTATACATTAATGGACATGAAAGCCCAGCCCTGTCTTCCAGTTTTCTACATCATATTCCCATATTTCTGTGGCCCTAAGTTGCTCCTTGTGCATAGCCTCCCCCAGGCACTATCTGGAGCCTTAGACTACCAGTGTCTGAAATGTTTATTCCTTACATATCTTTCTGCCTCAAATGATGCAAAAGCTCATGTTACTGGCAGGTATTGGCAGAACTGATGAGTTACTGGAGTCTCCAGTTCTTGGCACCCTTCACTAGATGTCTCATAGCAGGTTCATGGAGGTTTGCTCCCAGCAGCTGGGGGTGAGCCGTGGTGGAGGTCAGGGTGCAGCGGGGCAGGATGGATGCAACCAGCACATGGATATTTCCCCTCAGAGCCCCTGTGAGGGGTGCCAGTGTGGCGTGCCTGGGTCACAGCCAGGCGTGACAGCTGTGTTCTCTGTTCAGATCCTGTATGCCAAGCAGGGGCTCCGTGTGAGGCGTCGGTTGACTCGAGCCAACGTCAAGGAGAAGGTTAAGGAGACAAGGAAGGTCCTGGCAAAGCTACGCTTTTTGGCTAAAGAGGTACAGCTGCTCTCAGGGCACCCTGTTTCTGAGCAGCAGTGGGTGCGGACAAGGAGAGGGCACTGAGCTGGCTGCTGGGGCTCTTGCAAACCTGAGTTGAGACTTTCCCTCTACTGTCTTTCCTTGCTATGTAAAATCCCAGGTTTGAGCTGTTGAAAGTTACCATATTTCATGTTCTTATGAGGGATGAGGCTTGGCAGCCTTGCAGGTCCCTTGGTGACAGAGCAGGGGTCCAAGCAGCTCAGTGGTGGGTTGGAAGCAGAGCTGCGTCAGCTCCAGGCCCCCTGGGCCTCCCTGCCCGCTCTGGCAGGCCAGCCTGAGGCTGTGCCTACAGTGGGACTGCAGGCAGCCTGCCTGGGAAAACAGTCTTGCCTGTGCTGCTGCACTCCCACCAGGGACTGGCCCTAGACACTTTCTGCAAATTCAGTCTTACATTGAAATAAAGTCTGTCATCCATACCAGAGACTCTCCATTTTCAGAGTTTCACTGGCTCTATTTTAAGTAACTCTGGAAAATCAGTGTGTTTGTGTAGTGTAAATCAGAATGCAATGCTTGCTGGAGTTAGGTTTACAGTTTGGAGAAGTCTTTAAGTAAAGGCAAATGATTTTCACACCTTTAGCAGTGTGAGGGTAGACTTTGACATGAACAAGATGCCACCCCACACATCACCAGGAGAAGAAGCTGTCCTCAGGCTCTAGCCTCGAAGGCTGGCTGCAGCGGATTCCCCAGACAGGGAGGAACCTCCTCCCATTTTTCTCCCTGCAATCAGGTGGGAATGTTGCCGTCTCTGTGGAGTCATGCCTGTACATGCACTTCCCGCTTTCGGTCGCTGCTTGGAGGCTGGTGTTCCTGGTTTGGCTCAGTAATAAATTGCTAGAGCTACTTGTGTACTGAAAGGATGCAAGTACAAGTACCAAGCACAAGTGCTTGGCAGGGAAACTGAGATGAGGAAGAGAACTTAGGTTAGAGTTTAAAAGAAGTCATTGCTTCCATCTGTGCATTTGCTTTATTGCAAGTCCTGCTCTCGGCCTGAACTGCAGCTTTACGCTGGGCACTCATGTTGCTGGGATGCCAGCTATTATAGTTCTTTCCCGTGGATCAGCACTCAGGTTCCTGTCAGAGGTGTGGGGGAAAATGCCACTTCTCCAGTCTTGTGGGCACTCCCTCTCCCCAGCACGGCATGGGGTTGAGTGCATCCCACTGGTGTTGACAGTGAAAAACAAGGCGGATCACAGACCCCTCCAAGAAACCTGCTGTGTTGGTTTTGGCTGGGATAGAGTTTCTTCACAGGAGCTAGTATGGGCTGTGTTTTGGATTTGTGCTGAAAACAGTGTTGGTAGTACAGAGATGTTTTCATTACTGCTGAGTGGGGTTTGCACAGATCTAAGGCCTTTTCTGATTGTCACCAGTGAGTAGGCTGAGGATGCACAAGGAGATGGACAGCTGACCCCAGCTGGCCAAAGGGCTATCCCATGGGTTATGGCATCATGCTCAGTGTATAAAGATGGGGGGGGAAGGAAGGGGGGATGTTTGACAGGATGGCATTTGTCTTCTCAAGTAACCGTTACATGTGGCAGAGCCCTGCTTGCCTGGAGATGGCTGAGCACCTGCCTGCCCTTGGGAAGTGGTGAACGAATTCCTTGTTTTGCTTCGCTTGTGTGCGTGGCTTTTGCTTTACCTATTAAACTGACTTTATCTCAACCCACGAGTCTTCTCACTTTTACCCTTCTGATTTTCTCCCCCATCCCACTGAGGGAGGAGTGAGCAAGAGGCTATGGGGGGCTGAGCTGCCCACTGGGATTAAACCACGACACCTGCAGAGCCATACGGCAGGGTGGAGGCTTTCAGAAGTGTGTGCCCAGCATTAGGCCCTTCATTTGCTTCTGGATCTCCAAGTTGCAGTGCAGTCAGCAGTCCCTTCTGCGAGGAGATGAAGCTTTCACCATGTCAGTGGAGGGAGGACAAGATGTGCTGTTTCTCTGCTGTGACATTCCTCTCTTTCATCCCTCCAGCCCCAGTGCACCCTCCCTGATGTACTCATCTGGATGCTCAGCAACAACAGGCGTGTGGCGTATGCAAGAGTTCCTGCACAGAACATCCTTTACTCGGTAGTTGAAGAGGAGAAAGGCAAGGACTGTGCAAAGATCCAGACTGTCTTTATGAAGGTAGGTAGTTTTATACCAAAACAGTGTGCTCTTGCTTGCTTCATGCTGCTTCTTGCTCTTTGCTTTCAGCCCTCCTTCCTGAAATCCTGGAGTTCACAAGTAAACACAGCTCTTACTCCACCACTGCCTTTTGCCTCTGCCAGTGTGCTCTTTGGTTGGTCACTGGCTGATAGTGATCATCTTGGTCTGAAGGGAGCATAGCTGAGATCAGAAACCTGATAAATCTCCTGTGCTCTCAGGTCCCTGGCTTACACACTGGTGAGATCTTTGCCAAACTGGAAATCTACATGTGGCTTGGGGTAACCAAATATGCGAAGAACTGTTTGACAGAGCTGCCTGAGGAGTTCAAGTACCTCTCTGAAAGTGGACAGGAGATAGCCCAGCTCTCAGCGTACAGCCCTCCCAGCCGGCTCAGCAGAGATGGTGAGAGCAGATGCCACTTTTCCATGGCTTAATCATGAGCAGGAGAGCAGAGACCTGAGACGTCCTGCCCCAGGGTCAGTGTCCAAGGAGTAGGACCTGATATATCACCTCCATGTCATCTCCAATGGATGAGTGGGACAGGCAGGTCCAGTTTGCTCTCATGAGGACGTGTTTGCACCTCACAGCTGGAGCAGCAGCAGGATGGGTGCTTTGTAGGCATCTAATGTGTTGCCAAGCTGGCAATAGGCATGAGGCCTGCCTCTCTGCTGAGGCCTGGTGGTGCTCCCCCACAGCAGATGCTCACAGCAGATCATAGCACATTTAACATGTCATGTCCTTCCCAGAGGTGTCTGGGGAGCCCACTGATCTTGTCTTGCTTCGTCAAGCCTTTTGAGATGTGCTGGCCATCTGAGAACCACAGTGAGTGCCCCTAGAGGTGGTACTCACTCCTTGCAGGATGTGCCCACTCCTACCTGGCTGGTCCTCTTCGTGCATTTTTTTGACCTCACACAGGGATGGATTGGGGAACCGAGACCTCTTTTCTCTTTTTTTTTTACCAGATTTCAGCTATTTCCAGCTCCGAGCTCATCTGTATCAGGCTCGAGGGATCCTCCCTGTAGATGACAATGGCCTTTCAGATCCGTTTGCAAGAGTGGTGTTTTCGACTCATTGCCAGACCACCAGGGTGAGACTGCCTAAACTCTTGCCTCTGCCTTCTTGGGGACTTGGGAGAGAAAAGTCCTGACATGTTGAGGGCCAGTGCTGTGGCAGTCCTCCTGGAAACTTTGTAACTCCAGGCAGGAGGTATTTATGTGCTTTGGGTGGTGTGACTATGTTCAGGGAACATTTGACAAAACGTATATATCATTAAGCATGGTCTCAGATATTGATTGGCATGTTCTGGTTGGCCCCAAGTGCTGATTTCACACTTCTACCATCTCCCCTTCTGCCAGGCACCACCAGCTGCGTGCAGCTGTGTGGGAGAGGGGATCAGCCCACGCTGCCTCACTCTCTTTACAGAGGGCATGTGGTTTGTTTCCACTGGCTGTGGTACGCTCAGGCCTCCTGTCTCTGTCTGCAGATGCTGGAGGAGACACTGAGCCCCATGTGGAATGAGCTACTTCTGTTTGACCAGCTCATTATTGATGGGAAAAAAGAAGAGTTGAAAACAGAGACACCCATCATTATAATCAACCTTTTCAGCCATAATAAATTTGTAAGTATAGCCATGGTGCACTCCTGCTGTTGTTGCCAGGACAGGTAAGGCAGAGGAGCTCTGTGTGGGTGCTGTGAACAGGCACTTAGGAGCCCCACCTCTGTTTGGCTTCCATGACTCAGCTTGATTCTGGTCCATTGGTGGCAGTGAGCCCTGGGGACTGTAGCTGAGGTTGAGACTTTCTTCAGACTTCTGCTATGAGCTGGGGGGAAGCTGCTGGTTGCAGCATGCAGATGACTCAGAGATGCTGCGAGCCAGGGCCTGATGAGTGCTCGGTGGATCCAGGATCTCCTCTTTGGAGAAGCACTGCACCTCTCACAGATGCCTGCCCCACTTCCTCGGCAGGTTTATGTTGCAGAGGACTTTTAGCCAGGGGGAGATGATGCAACTCTTAGGGCTGTTCCTCTGTCCCCCAGATGCCATTTTACTTCCTTCCTCAGTCCTCCTTTTTCTCTTTCATTAGTACTCAAATTTACACTCCTTTCTGGGGCCTCTTTGTTATCATAAGGGGAATGACGTACTTCACACTGGATTATCCTGTGTAGCTCAGCAGCTTTCCTGGGTCCATTTCCTGGGGCCCAGTACAGGATAGACACTGAGATACTGGAGTGAGTCCAGAGGAGGCCACAAAGGTGATTGGGGTTGGAGCACAGGACAGAGTGAAGAGAGGTGGAGACCAGGGCATATTCAGCCTGGAGAAGATGGGGCAAAGGCAGTGTCTTATTGCTGCCTGATGGGAGAGGGTAGAAAAGGTGGAGTTAGACTTCTCTTGGAGGTTTCCAGGGCAGGATGACAGACAATGGACACAAGTTGGAACAAGAAAAAAATCCAGCTTGATATAAGGAAGCAATTTTCTCACAGAGGGAGTTCAAATGCTGGGGCTGGAGCTCAGAGAGCTTGTGGTATCTCTTTTCTTGGAAACATTCAAACCCTGGCTGGAGGAGACTCTGAGCAAACTGATCTAGCTTTGGTGTTCTATGGTGCTGTTTGCCCAGATCTGCATGGAGATGGGCTGGGAGTTGAGGAGCTGCTACAGACACATCTCATCTGCTCCTAGCTCTGGATGGAGCAGAGGAAATCAGAGGATGACAAGGTGGAACAGCAGTCTTGTGCTGTCCCAAATTGGCTGGAATTAGCAGTGGTCTTTTCTCTGAGGTAGTGATATAACACAGGGACACTTTGACCCATTCCCCTCTTTCTTGTAGGGCTCCCCTGAGTTCCTTGGCCAGGCCTTTGCTGTCCCACAGGTGAAGCTGGTCGATGAGCCATACACCAAACCTGCCCTGCAGTTCTTCGATGTCTACAAAGGCACCAAAGCAGCGGGAGAGCTCATTGCCACTTTTGAGCTGATTGAGCTGGATTACAGTGGCTATTTGGAGGTAATGAGCTTGTAGGAAGCTGCACGTGGTTGCCAGCTCTCTGGGAGGATCTGTGTGGGTGAGGGACTGGTTGCATGGAGCCCACCAGAGGATTCCCTTTTGAAAACCACAGCTGGCTTTCAACTGAAGGGAGGCTGCAGGAACAGAGCCTGTGAGCACAGATCAAGAGGGGAGGGAGAGGGGGCATGGCATGGAGTAGAAATGACTTAATCACTTGTTGCACTCTGGCTTCACCCATTCAGCCGTCAGTGCCTGAGGATGTGGAGCCCAAGGAGCCTGACTACTTGGGAGACCCCTGTTCTGGACGGTTCATCATCCCTGAGGGCATCCGCCCAGTGCTGAAGGAGTTTCGCATAGAGGTGCACTCTCTTCTACTGAGTTGGCTCCCCACTGGGCTGCCCCAAGCCGACAGCACAGCTGGCCGGTGTAGAGGGCAGGGCTTGGGAGGGAGTCACATTTGGAGCTCAAGTGTACCTTTGAGGCCTGATCAGATGCCAGAAATGAAGGTGCTTGAGAGTCTCAGCAGTTTAACAGTCAGAGCTGTTGGGTGTCAGGTTTGGGAGAGTGGCCTCATGCCTCTCTTGAGGTCTGTGTCCTGCAGGGTGAGGGGGGTGGCAGCACTGGTCAGGGTTACAGGCTGTGTGGCCATGCCATGCCTGGCATGTCTTGAGCAGCCCAGTGACTTTGTGTTGTGCTTCAGATTCTGTTCTGGGGCCTGCGGGACCTGAAACGAGTGAACTTGTTTGAGGTGGATCAACCCCAGGTTATCATTGAATGTGCTGGCAAGAAGGTGGAGTCAGAGGTGATCATGACCTACAAAGCGAACCCCAACTTCACCGAGCTGGTCAAGTACATGGACGTGGTGAGTGGGAAGGGGGTCCTGCCACGCCAGGGTGCACCATGGCTGTCCTGCACCCATGCACTGCCTGTCTGTGTGGGGCAAGGTAACAGGAGGGGAGCTACCCCCAGGGTTTTGCTCTCCTGTGGCCACATGGTTCAGCTGCAGATCAAAGCCTTTGTAAATTGCCCACCAAGAGCAGTTTCAGCCATCACCTGTGACTGCAAGGTTTTGGGTTTTGGGCAGAGCTGCAAGGTGCTGTCCAACCTCCCCACGTGTGGTGGGGCTGCCACTGGTATAACCCTTGCTCCTGTGAACCCCATGCATGATTCTTTTGCAGGAGCTCCCAGAGCAGGTCTATCTGCACCCTCCCCTTAGCATCTTCGTGGTGGAAAAGCGGGCATTTGGGCGCATGGTGATGGTGGGTACCCATGTTGTGTCTGATGTGATGAAATTCTCTCCCAGAGAGCTGGAGGAGGAACCAGAAGATGTCCCCAAAGGTGAGCTGCTTGGCAACGTTCCCATGTTCCCATGGAGGCAGCAAACAGGTTCTGCCAGTGGCAGAGATCCCTGGCCCTTTCATTCTCTCCTAGCCAGGCAGCAAAGTCCTCTCCTGAGAGCCATAAAATACTCAGCAAAAACACAGTGTGGAGCAAGTTAGGGCTGGAGACAGGTTGTGACCCTGGTCTGTAGCACTTGGATCCAGACTGATGTTCAGGAGGCAGCAGCAGCCAAGCGATGGAGTGCTGTGTAATGGCTGGCATCTCTCTTTGGGACTGTTTTTTCCAAGGTTAGCTTAACATTTGCCTCCCACCCCACAGGCAGAACTGTTCATCTGTGGATGTGGCATCTCTTTCCCAGGCACTGTTTGCCTTACATTTGTAGAAAGTGGTGGAGGGAGAATGTGAAGACATCTTAGTCCAGCAGGACATTTAGCTGGGGCTAGATACTAGACAGTAACTTATCCCTGTGGAAAATTTTTGTCTGGAATCAAAGATGTTTAGCCTGGGGAGAACTATTGTGTTCACCTATTTCAATCCTGGGCTGGAGAGCTGTTCCTAGTGAGACCTCCATCAAGCTTTAGGGAGCTGGTCCACTAAGACCAAGGGTTGAAAGGTTTATGCTTCTCTCACATCATTGGGCCAAGGTCTGTTCATTGGGTAATGGATTCACTAAATAGCTCTGTGATAGCAACAGCCATAGCTCCTGAACTGGAAGTGTGTAAATAAATACAGCACAAAGGGGAAGGAGCAAAGGACTGATCAATTTGTGGTTGTTTCTGAGTGGGAAAGGTGTATCTCAAATCTGAATTCCTGGGAGTCGGCAAAAAGCATGTTGACGACAGTGGCCATTCTCAGCACTGTACTTGGATTTCCAGAAATATTTTTGCTGGGTCTGCTATGAAAAGCTTTAAAAGCAATCACTTACAGTGGGGGAGGTCTTTCCTGTGGAATAACAACTGGCCAAAAAGTAGGAAGCAGTGGGCAGAAATAAATGCGTGAAACATGAAGCTCCTTCTCTTTCTCTCAGCTCAGAAAGTCTCATCCCAGCGTCTTCCCTCTCAGATTGTTGTAAATGTTGGCCTGACAGCGGGTGACCCAGGTTCCAGCACTCACCCCCTGAGTCTTGTGAAGGTGAGTGATGTGTTGGACCCAGCAAATTTTGAAGCTTGGAAAGCCAAACTGAAGGACACAAACAAAAAAGAAAGCTGGGAAGTTCAGTTAGGTTTCAACTGCCAGTTTTTGCTCTGGACTCAAACACTCCTCTCTCCTGCCTGTTCATCAGCACAGCTGCATGTCTGGGCCCTGGTGCAGGGAGGAGAGCTGTGTTGCCTTGTGCCTTGAAAACTGCTGCTTTTGTAGCAAAGCACAAACCTGGGGCTTCAGGTAGCTTTGCACCTCCTGTGCTCTGTCTGAAAGCTGAGCCTCTGCTAGAGGCTCCCAGGGCACTAGAGTAGGGTGCATGGGTGTTCTGGGTGGTCATTTCCTCTCTCTGAGCCCTTTTCTCTGTTCTTTTAAGGGTCCTTTGCAGAAATTTCCTATCAATAAGCTTGTAAAGAAGGAAGATGAATATGAAGAGGAAAAACCAGAGCTGGAAGAACTAGATTGGTGGTCCAAGTACTATGAGTCCTTGAAGGAGCTGTATAACCAGGTAATCTTTTGTGACAGCTGCCAGCAGAGGGGAAAAGTGACTGTACTGGCTTGAGGAAGATGTTTTCAACAGCACTGAGTGTCATAGTAGCCCTCCTGGCATGAATCTGGAGGAAGATGTGGGCTTTTGTGTGTCAAGCACACTTAAGGTAGCCAGGTATCGAGCAATCCACCAGGCAGACTGATGTCAGCAGGTAATGGATGTTGAACCATCCCTGAAGCTAGGTGCCCAAGTGGTTTTGAGAATGTGACTAGTCTGTTGTTGAGACACTCCTGAAAATGTGACATTGCTGATCTTACCTGCAAAACCGGGACTTTCATGCTGCTTACTCTGTCCTGGCTGTCTTCCCAGGATGTGCTATGGGAGCAGGTCTGCCCCAGGTTTCCTTACTTGCCCTGTGTCCCTTAAATCGTAATCAAAAAAGGCAGCAGGGGGATCTGTGGAGAAGAAATGGTCACTGGCATTGGATACCGTCCTTTAGAATGTTAATGCTAAATGATCTCAGTGCTAGGTATTACTGACTCTGCTGGCAGGAAAACTTTGTCAGTGTCCTATGCTTGGATGGAGAAGCCTTTGCTCTCAAGGATGTGGGGTGACTGTGTTTCAGACACGCAGTGATGAGGAAGATGCTGAGAATGATGACCTGAATGATGCAGGTGAGTCCTCTAGCAATACCCAGCTCTTCTGTGGGGAGATCCAGAGCTTACATCATTCCAGAGAGTGCTGGGCTTGTAGCAATGGGGTTTGAGCAGGCAACGGCTTTGCAGCATTCAGCAAAAACAACACAAAAGGGTGCAGATGGAAACATTGGCAAGGGCTAAAAAAGGCTCTTTCAAGTTGAAAACACCAAACTTCCCTCAGAAAAATTTGGAAGATTGTGTTGAAGGAAGACCCTTCCTGAGTGAGCAAAAATCTGCAGAAAAATCAGCTTCAAGGATAATGGGATTGTCAGGGTGAGAGCAGGAAGCAAAAGTGGGCTGGAGAGAGAGGATGGTGGAGAGGTGAAACTGTCCAGGAGCTGGGCATCACTCTGTGCATGTGGGATACTCACCTGGCACACAGGATTCACTATGAGGTAACAGAAAGACAGTGATAATAAACAGAATATCTGAGAACAGTGTTACAGTTGTAGGCCAGGTTTGTGGTGGTATAAGCAGTGACTTGCCTAGTGATGACCTGGGGAGGTGAGACACTACATATAGAAATTATGTAAATCCTATTTAAGGGGAGGGCTGGAGGGTACCTGCATGCTGTTAGTGCTCAAGGGATCTGGGGTCTTTGGGAAATGGGGCAAGGATGCACCCTCTCTTGGGCTGCAGTTGCCCCAGAGAAGGGTCTGGCTATGCTCTTTCCAGGCACAGCTGCCTGTGCCCACAGTGGTAGTGGTGCTTCTGTTAAACATCCACCCAAAACAGCAGTCTGTCAAATAAGCATCCATCCAAAGAAGAGGGTTAGCTCTCATTTGTGCCTTCTCTGATGCACCTGTGGGCTGGTCCAGCCACTTTCCTCCATTTGGTCTCTTCCCACTTCCTCCCTAAACAGTAGCCATGCAGGCAGGTAAGTCTGTGCAGATTTGTGTGTGTGTGTGTGTGTGTGTGTGTGTGTGTGTGTGTGTGTGTCTGTGTGTGTGTCCCATCCAGCCATGCCCTGCTGGGCAACCTGAGGTGCTGTAAGGACACTTGTTACAGACAGCAGTAGCTCCAGTTACCCTGACACAGGCCAAAGCCCTGGATGGAAGTGGAAGCTGTTGCTGGGGTCACTTCACAGACAGACACTTGAGATGATGGGAGAGCTCAGAGCATTTCCTAATCTCCTATTGCCATTTCTAGATGGAGGGAATTTAAATGCATCCTCCATTGACATGGAAGCAGATGATGAGGCAGTAATTGAAGCTGAACCTGCTCGACCCAAGAGGAAGCTCATCGCCACTCTTCAGGTGATTACTGGGGTGACAGATCTGGCTTCTTTCAATCCTGGCCCTTTGTCCTTGTCATCCTCACCTCCCTGCAGTGGAGGTTAGACTGGGAGGAGAACCTGCAGTGTGCACTAGCCCCCCATCACTGCTAGGCTTTGAAACAGCTAGGGAGGCCTTGAAGCTAAGCTGGGGTGTGTGTGCATGTCTGAGGATGGATGTGGAGAGATAAGGGAAAACCATAACACCCTGCATGGGGTAATACAGGTGTAAGATAGGACCAGATGAAATGTTTGAAAAAGGGAAAGGATGGTGTTTCTGAATCTCCTCTCCTGTAAAATGCCAGGAAAAGGCCAAAAATTACTTATTTCAGATCTACAATTCTGAGCTGGAAAATGAGTTTGATAATTTTGAAGACTGGCTGTGTATTTTCCCCCTTCATCGTGGCAAAGCAAATGAGGATGAAGATGGAAATGAGGATGAACATTTTGTGGGGAAGTACAAGGTACTGTATCATTTGAATGACATTTATGCTGCATGTGGAAGAGAATCCTTAGGACAACCTATATTTCAGAGCATGCTAACACCAGCAAAGCCTTGGAGAGTGTATGTGTGTGGAAGGTGATGTAAGGCCACAGTGTGGCACAGCCAGGGTAGGTACTGTTGGTGCCTGTTGAAGCAGTTGTGTACTGTGGTCCTTTGTTAGTTGATAAATGCACCCGATTTAGATTTTTTAGATCCTGTAAGGAGAAAGCATGAAGCATAAAGGACTCATCCTGGCTGGGGCCTCTGGTTATGTTCAGTATGCAAATAAGAATTAGTGAGCTTCACTGGCTTAAAAATTACTAAAACTTGTTTAAAAGAGGCATCATTCTCTCACCCAGGAGCTCTTGAAGACTCTGAAATATGACTACAGAAGTTAAGAAGGGCCCTATAAAACCTGCCTTTGGCAGTCCAAAGTGCCTGGAGATATTCAGATCTGGCAGTGGTCTGACAGCCTGCAGCTTAACTTGCAAACAGGGACCTGGGCCATGTGAAGATGACAGTGCCTTTGGAAAGGACTGTCTCCATGGGCAGAGGATGTCTGTGGTCTGCATGGGGCAATGGCTCTGATTTTCCAGTTGGCAGGTGAAACTGGTCTTGGTGGCTCCAATCCCATCCAAGATACTCTCTTTTGTATCTAGCTGTTACTTGCGATGTCTTTTCTGCAGGGCTCCTTCTACGTTTACCCCACTGAGGAAGCCGGCATGGAGCCCAAGGTCTCCCAGGGCATTCCAAGGAACAGACCCATCAAGGTTCTTGTAAGAGTTTACATTGTTAAGGTAAGTCTCTGGTGGTGGTGGCAGTAATGCTTGGAAGTCTGTCCCTCCCTATGGACCTCCTGCCATTCTCTGCTTGGTAAATACGAGCAGTGGCACTTGTGAAAAGCTCAGTACTGGCTTGAAGGGTCTGGCAGATTGGTGGAAGTCAGTTACATCATGTCCGCAGGGAGCCTTCTGTGCTTTGTAGCTTCAGGAGGTGCTAAAAATTCAGATGGGCATTTCTCAGCTCCTCTGATCTGCCTTGAGACAGTGAGCAAGTAGGTGGGCCAGTGGCTGGAGACACTGGTGACTTGTTGAGTGGGAATTTGCATGAGCACAAATGCCTGTTTCACTGCTGGGGCAACTGCTGAAGGGACCTGCCCAGAAAGCTTGGGTGGTCTCAGGCCTGTGCAGTGTTCCTTGTGTCGGTTGCTCTCTGCAGCTGATTTATGGCTATAACTCTTGTATGTTCTAGGCTACGAACCTGTCTCCAGCAGACCCCAATGGCAAGGCAGACCCCTATGTTGTGGTGACTGTGGGGCAGGAGCAGAAGGACACAAAGGAGCGGTACATCCCAAAGCAGCTCAATCCTGTGTTTGGAGAGTATGCAGAAAGTTTTCATCTAGCAGGTTTAATAGAATAGTGCAAATCCTGGGCTCGGCTCAGGCTGTGACTCAGCATGTGTCATCTTCTGTTCCTTTCTGCTGGAGAATTTTGTGCTGTGACACAAAAGTCCCAGGTACTCTCTTGCCTCTGGATGACACAGGAGCCATAAGTGGTTTGGGTTAGGAGGAGAGCACTCCCAAGGGCTTGATTTAACAGGAAAAGTAGCAAGCCAAGCAGTAACTGAGCACTGGAGAGCTTTTTCCCTGGCTCTAGGACCTCTATCCAAGGACATGCATTCCTGGAAAAGTAGCTCCTTTGAACATGCGCACTGAAAACTGCACACAATGAACTTACAGAGAACCAAACTCTATCAGAGGTCTTTGAGTTGTTGTCAAATGCAGTTCTTAAACATAGGATGATTGAAGCAGAGCATGTGTTTTATTTTCATCCTCTTTGCTAATTGCATTCTCCCTGTCTGCTTCTGTCCAGAGTTATGGAGCTGACAGTCTCCTTTCCCATGGAATCAGAACTCACTGTGGCAATATTCGACCATGATTTGGTTGGTTCTGATGATCTGATTGGGGAGACCAAGATTGACTTGGAGAATCGATTCTACAGCAAGCACAGGGCCAACTGTGGAGTGGCTTCTCAGTATGACGTGTAGGTACCAATGTGGCACGTTAGCACCATGAGATGCATTCTTCTTGCCTACCATCCGGGTGGGTAAGAGACCACCTCCAGTTTTGCAGGACAGAGCTTGCATCCACAGTATCCTTTGAGCAGATGCCCCACAGATTCTCTACAAGTTACATAGATAACTCCATCTTCTCTAGACTCCTACCAGCTTCCTGGGATAGCTCTAATTCCTACTGTGGATGAATACATTTTACATATAGTAGCAAAAAATTCTTTAATGCTTTCATATTGGTATTCTGTGAGAAAAGTGTTCACTTGACATTGATGTGATTTTGACCACTTTCAGAAAGTAGGGTGGTTTCTCTGGCAGTAGCTAATTCTGTGAGCAGCAAGACTCATGACATCTGTTTTCCTTTGGCCTCATTCAGTATGGATTCTCTTGTGGTTTTGGCCAGTTTTCGGTAAACTTCTCTTCTCCTACCCCACTATGGGAGAATTAGTTATGGACCTGAATTTAAGTCCACAGCACTGCTCAAATCTCTCTTGAACTTACAAGCTGCAGCTGGAATTTTTCTTCTTGCTGCTCTGAAGCTAATGGTTCTGTGGGGTGCAAGCCTGGCTTCTTCTAGGGGAGGAGAGCTTGTTAAATTTCTCATTCATTAAGCTTTTGTGTGCCTGTGCTTTTCCCAGTGGAAGTCTAAGCAGGGACCTGGTGGCGTAGCCTGTGCTGTAGGGAAGGCAGGGCATTTCACAGCCTAGGAAAAAACCTGTTGTGTCTCATCTGAAGATGTTCTCAATGTTCTCTCTTCCATGCAGAAATGGCTATAACATGTGGCGAGACGCTTTCAAGCCCACACAGGTCTTGGATAGTTTATGCAAGAAAAACTCACTCCCTGCAGCAGAGTACAGACAGGAGGAGGTCAAAGTGGACAATAAAATATTCAAGGTCCCTCCAGAGGCTTTTCCTGAAGGTACAGATCTTGGAGAACAATGACTGCTCCCTTAAACAGCTTCCTGTGCTCAGCAATGCATGTGCTGGTGAGAGGTCTGGGAGTGCACTGGCTGCTGTCCTCACTCTGTGCCCTGCATGGACCAGCTTTCTGGGTCACCACTGGGAGCATCCTTGGTGCTCAGTGGACTGGTTTCAGTGGATGATGGTGTTGCACAGGGGGAAGGTGTGATCCAGACCATTAGGTCCCAAAGTGGCTTCCCAGACAGTGGGTGGAGCAAAGTGAACCTGCCAGAGTGCATGGCAGCAATGTGCACGGGCATTTGATGGCTTGTACAGCCAGAGAAGATGCAGCTTATTCTGGTGGCTGACACTGGTACAAAGCTGTACCTCCATCTGCTTGTGATAACCATCAGCAGGATACTGGTGTCCTTCAATTTTTTGGGGTTATTTTGAGGGGCTTTTTTGGTCTCCTTTCCTGATTTTAGCTGGCTTTGTCCTTCAGGGGTGCTCTCTGGTTCTGGTGGCTTTGCCTTGGGTGACTCCCCACTGCTCCTCACTACTGCTGGTTTCCTCCTTGTGGGGCAGCTTCTCTTCTCCTCTGCTGTTTTTCTTTCTTTCTCTCTCCTGTTACAAACCCTGAGCTAGGGCCACAGATGTCGAAGAACACAGCAACCTTTCATGTCCTCCACCAGCAGTGATGGAGAACTTCCCTGAACATAGGCATGTCCCTGATGTGCACGTTCCCTACGACACTTGTGCAGTTGAATCCAGCCTGGAGGAAAAGATGGAGTGGATATGGCCCACTTGTGGATGGCTGGGTCCTATGAGGCAATGCTGCGTAGCCTGTAGGAAGGATGATCCCTGTGCCTGACTTGCTGGGAGAGGGGGGACCCAGCGCTACTGTTCCTCAGCTTTCTGCTGGCCTCTATGGCTTATGTCATGAAGGGGAAAGAAATCCTGCTCAAGGGAGGACAAGGAGCCTCCAAAAGCCCTTTATCCCTTTTCTCAGGTCACTAGGTAGCTGGGAAGGAAGAAACAAGGTGTTCTCCTGGTGTTCCCCTGAGAGCCAGCCCTGGTTCAATCATGGCTGCAGTTGGTGCCCCATGAACTTCTGCTGTGCTCAGGGATGCGTGGGATGGTTTTAGTCTCAGACTGATCTCCAAAGGGTAGATGCTCTCCATAAACCCAGGGGTGGGTTTGTCATTGTGTCCTCACCTGTTTGTTCCTGCTTTTCTCCCCACCAGCAGGATTTTGATCTTGAACTGCCATTTGGTTTCACTGTACCAAATAAGTCAATCACTCAGACTGTTAATTAATGGAGAGCACAGATGTGTGTCACTGCCAAGTGACAAGTGGTGCTTTCCTGGAGCAAAACTTCTCATCCATGGATCTGTTGGCACTACCACAGTGACGTGGGGACTTAAACAGCTCCAAAGATTCACATCCTCCTCAGTGTCCCTTCGATCCTTTTCCCACAGACACAGTAAATTCTTTTTTGCCCCTTTCCTCTTATTTCTCATAGCTTGTTTGTCTTCCTGCCTACAGTTTTCCTGATCACTGCAACATATTGAACTTACTCCTTTCATCCTTGCCCTCCTGCTTTTCCCCATTTTGTTTTTCTGGTGAGATACTTGTTTGCCCAGTCCATCATCTTCCCTTCTTTATGCCTGTGACTAACATTCTGACATGGCTATTGCTGGCCAGATGCCTTCATCTTCTACCTGGCTGTGTCCTGCTGCAGAGGCCTATGTGAGGAACAGGAGAGGAGTGGCAGATGAGAACTTGTCAGTGGATGATGAACATAAGGCTTTGTACGTCCTGCAGCACTGGGAGGAGATGCCAGGATATGGGTACAAGTTGGTACCAGAGCATGTGGAGATCCGGTCCCTGTACAACCCGGAGAACCCTGGGCTTGTGCAGGTGAGATGTGTTTCCTTGCCCAGCCTAGGCATTGCTCTGGGGAAGGACCTTTGGGGTAGCTGTTTCCCAGCCCCCTGTCTGGTCCCCTGTTGTCCTTCTGTCTCCTCATCATGGGATGAATCCCATGTGTTGCTGCTTCCTGGGTGAGCCATTGCAGCTGTGTCTGTGGATGACTGGCCCTGCTATGAAGTGAGGACTGTTGCCCTTGGGTGTCCTTTGCTCAGATCCACCCTCCAACCTCTCACGGTGCTTCTGAACACACTTTCCTCAAGGGGCCTCTATCCACTGATGTGGTCACAATGCTGGTGGCCCAGAGTCCTTTCTGTCTCCTCAGGCCACTGCTCTGATGAGGATGCTGTGTGGGTGGCAAGGGACCTGTTCTGCCTCTGAGCCCTGCCACCATGCACCATGTGGGGTGGTAGTGTCCTTGCTTATCCCTGCCTCTTTGTCTGCTTTGTTCCCTACCACTGATGCTTTGCTCCCCTGCAAGAGCCCCGTTGTGCCCCCTTGGCTTCTTCCTAAGGGCACAACATAACTGCTGGCTGGAGGAGAAACATTAATCCAAAGTTTTATGAAGTGATCTGAGCTTAACCATTTCAGTGTCCCGCACTGAACATGTCCTGTTCCCTCGGGTACTGGAGGTCTGTAACAAAACAGAGCTCTACAGTCACTCTGGCTTTGGTTAGCATTGGAAATGCATGTGGGGAGGGTCAGACCAATCCCTTTTTAGTTTTCTTGGTTATCCTGAAACGTTGCATCATTGTATGCTTCTTATAAAACACAGGGACACATTTGCCTGTTTGAAACAGACTCAGTTCAGCTGAAATGTTTTTTCTTGGGAGCAGGGTGGGGAGGAAAATAAGCAATTTTCGGTAATTTTAGTTTTTTCCTTATCTAAAACCCAGTCACACATTACTCTGAAGTGCTGGGTGTGGAGAGATCCAAGCAGTGGCTTTCTGGTGAGAGCTTTCCTTGCAGGACCAGGCCCTTGCTCCATGAAGAGCTGAAGGGTGAGCTGTCTTTTGAGGTCTCTCTGCTGTCTTCTCTTGTCAGGGCTCCTTGCACATGTGGATTGACATGTTTCCAAATGACGTCCCTGCACCGCCGCCTGTCAATATCAAGCCACGATTGCCTGTCAGGTAGCACCCATACAAGCAGGGCTGGGGCTCACAAGCCAGCATGGAGGGTCAGTGTCCCTCGCCATGCCTGCTGAGATGTGCCACGGTGTCCTGCCCAGGCTGACAGTCTGTGCTAGCCTGGCATGCAGCCTTCTTCTCTGCTTCAGCTCTGGCCATGGAATGGTCTCTTGGGTGTATCAGCATGGGGCATAAGCACTTCAGCTGCACAAGTGTTTGTGAGCGGCAGGGTTAATCTCTCTGAGGCTGGACATAAAGGTTATAGAAATCCAGGTCAGAGCTCCTCATCTATCTAGCTCTATTTTGGGCAGTGGACAGATGTCCTCTGGATGCCTGGAGAAGTGAAGTTGGGGATCTGCTGTTTTCAATGATCTAATGGGGCTGTTGAGATGGAGCGTCACAATTCTTGTCAGCAGTGCAGATAAAAGAACAAGAGATAATTGACACAGATTGCAGCAAGGGAAGGTCCCTGGATATAGGGAAAACATTTTCCCAATGAGAGTGAAGCTACCCTGGGAATAGGGATGGAGTGACCCAGAGATGTGCTAGATACCCTGGAGCTACTCAAAGCTTGTGCAGACAAGGCCCTGAGCAATCTGATCTACTGTGAAGTTAGAGCAAGAGGCTGGAGTGCAGAGGTCTCTTCCTGCCTAAGCCTTCCTGTGCTCCTATGGCTAAGTGGTGCTGGGTGGGTTTCCCATGCATCAGTGATTTGGATTGCAAAAGCTGCTTGTTTTAACTGTGGGTGTTTGTCTTGTGGTGTTGTAGCGCCCCAGGAAGGGCTTTGTTCATAGCAGCAAGACTGCTGGACTGTGTTTGACTAGAGGAACCCTGTGACAGGGGAGACCACAGTGCTAGGAGGGTTCAGGTCCTCCTGCTCTGACAGTGTGGGCTTGACCTACCCTCCCAGACACCAGAGATGAGGCCATGTGTCCCATTCACCTCTGTCTCCTTCCCACAGCTACGAGCTCCGTGTGATTATCTGGAACACGGATGATGTGATCCTTGATGATGTCAACCCAATAACAGGAGAACCTTCCAGTGACATCTACGTGAAAAGGTCTGATGGGAGCCAGAGGGAGGCCAGAACCTGGCTGTCTTGCTTCTTGCCCTGCCCCACACCCTCAGTGCCACCTCTGAACCTCTGCTCCTCCCTGCCTCAGCACAAGGTGCCCCGCTCCAGTCCCCTGCATGGACTGATGTACTCCCCAAGATGTTGGTCAGGTGTTGGCCTGGTTTGGTTCTTTGACTCTTCCTTTCCTGCCACCCCATGGGGTTCAGTCCCTCCATCCTTCTGCTCTGCTTTTCGGGCTGGGTGACAGGGGTAGAAGATAACTGAGTTTTTCCTGCAGCTGGATAAAGGGTCTTGACCACGAGAAGCAGGAGACGGATGTTCACTTTAATTCCTTGACCGGGGAGGGCAATTTCAACTGGAGGTTTGTCTTCCGCTTCAACTATCTCCCAACTGAGAAGGAGATAACCTACAAGAAGAAGGACTCTGTCTTCTCCGTGGAGGAATCAGAGTTTCGGGAGCCAGCTGTTCTGGTCCTCCAAGTCTGGGATTACGACAGGATTTCAACTAATGACTTTCTAGGTATGATGTGACCTGCTGGAAGTGGCGTAATCTGTCCCTTACCTTGCTAGAGTATTACAGCATGTCCCCTAGGGCCTAGCTCTCTGAGAATGGACACCAGGAGTATCAGATGAATCTCTCAGCTCAGCAGTCACCTGGGATGTTTTTTCACATGTGCGCTGGGCTGTTTTTTCATAGGCAAGCCTGGAGATATGCACCTCTCCTACACAGACATGTTGAGCTTGCATGTTTGTCCTGGGGCCTGTCATGCCACAAGACTTCCAGGTTCTTCTTCTTTACAACCTTTCTGATAAAATTTCTTGTTTTCCCTGCTCTCACTTAGATCTGCAGACCCAAAGACTTGGCCAAAGCTCAGATTTCCTAGGAGCTTATATTGTGGGCACAGGGATTGGCAACCTTTGCAAGACCATTTGCACTTGAGTTGATCATCCTGTCACTGGGGCCTCAGAGCTCCCCAGCTGCCTGGTACTTCATAGTAACCAGACCTGCTATGCTGGGCTGGTGGTGATTCCAGTATGTTAGCACAAATGCTGCTGCTTCTCCTGCCATCCCTAAGTTTGTAGCACTCCGTTCAGTTGTCCCTTCTTTCTTCAACTTTGGCCTCCCCATTAAAATGCAGCCCCTCCATGAGGCACTTCCAATTGTGATTGGTTCAGCCATGCTACTCAGGCACTGAAGAAAGCATTAGCAGTCCAAATGATTCCTGGCCTATACATCTCAGGAACCTCTAGGCAGGAAGGGGCTTCTGCAGTCTTTATTGCAACTTCTTGCTCCAGGCAGGACTAGATGCAATGTAGGTCAGGTTGCTCAGGGCCTCATCTGGGTGAGTTTTGAGTATCTCCAAGGATGGAGATCCCAGCACCCTTCTGGACCCCTTTTCCTGGATGCACCATTCTTACAATTCTCAAATGTACTTACTTGCAACAACTTGTGTCTATTGCCTTATATGCTTTCATCATCCAGTTCTCAGGAGAGGCTAGCTCCATCTGCTCTATAGCTTCTTTTAGGCTGTGGGAGATGCAGTAAGGTCTCTCCCTTGACCTCTCTTCTCCAGGCTGAACATGCATGGGTCTCTCAACCCATCTTGCTATACACAACTCCAGCCTTGACCATCTCAGCCACTGGACTCTCTAGTTAGTTGACACTTTTCTTGTGTTGGGGGCCCAAAACTGGGCACTGCATCCAAATGCAGTCTCACCAGAGCTGAGTGGAGGAGAACACCCACATCCCTTGGTTTCTGGCTATGCTTTTGCCACTACAGACCAGGACGTGATAAGACTGATTTGTTGTGAGGGCTCAGTGCTGAAGTGGAAGAGGAGCTTCTTCCTAGGAAGACAGGGGCACAAGGCCAATCAGGGAAATGAACTGAGGCTGTTTCAGATGTAAACCAGACTCGAAACCTTTAGAGAACTTCCCAGATTTTATGATTTTTTGCTGACATTTGCAGGAACTAGAGGGGAAGAGGAGTGTGAGGAGAGTAGTGTGGAGTGAAACGAGTGAAAATAACCCTCTGTACCACACGCAAACCAAACTGACCACATCAGAGACAAGAACTGTGGCTTCTGCTTCTTGATCTTTAACTCTTGGGCTGGTCCTTTCTTATGCTGAGCTTCAAGTTCTCCACCTGTAAATGTGTGGACCTCTGCTAGATCATTACAGCAGCTGGGACCGACTTATCGTGGTGGGTATGTGGCTGAGACAAAGCCAAATGTTGTGTGGGTCTGACCTCAGGATTTCACTGTGAGCTCTCCTCTTCACTGTTCCTGCAGGATCCATTGAGCTGAAGCTGCATGACATGGTGAGGGCAGCCAAGAGCTCAGAGCATTGCACCATCAGGATGGCCAAGGAGAATGCAACCCCTCGCTTCTCCATCTTCCGAAACAAACGCATGAGAGGCTGGTGGCCCTTCATCAAACTCAAAGATCAAGAAGATGAGGAGAGAGAGGAGAGGGAGGAGAAGCAGAAGAAGAAGAAAAAGAAGTGGAGCAGCTCAGTCAAACCAGAGGACGTGGAGTTCACAGACCCCAGTGGGAACAAGTACCTCCTGACGGTAAGGAAGGCTGCTGGCACAGGTGAGCATAGAGGCACTGTTTTGCCTCTGCCTTGGCATGGCAGCTTGTCCTGCATCCACATAACCTACAAAGGCATCAATGACCCAGCTGCCCAGGACTTTGTACAAGGTGCTGGAGACTTTTCCTATCTGCTACAAACCCAGCATTTCATCTGCCCAGAAGTGCCAGCTGCAGTGGCATGCAGGGGTCATCCAACTTTGTGTCTTCCTCTGAGCTTCCCATAGAGCACTGCTATGTGAGGGGAGGAAAGCAAGAGGCACATGGCTCCCTATCAACCAGACAGGACAGCAAAAGCTTGTCCTAGGGTCTCTGCCTTCCCTAGACAGGCAGGTGCCAACTTTCCCAGGGGAGACTCCCTGCTGATGGGCCTGGTATTGGACCATTGTTTGTCCCCAAGGGTGAGTTTTGTTCAGTGCCAGTGTGGGAAGCTGCAGACAGATCCAGGCAACTGGGGAGAGCCTTACAATACAGTGCCTTGTCTGCAAAACAGTTAGTTTCTGGACAGGCCTGAGTTTCCACTGGCTGCAAAGTGAGAGACTCTATAGCTAATGCCTAGAGTGAAAAGTTAATTGCTCTGGGCATCTGTAAATGGAACTGGGAGAAGAATACTTAGTCCTGTCAGGACATGTGGTCAGGAGACTCGTCTGTGAAGCAGCATGTGTGGCTGTGGTTCAGACATGTTCCCTCTCCAGGGTAAGGTGGAAGCAGAGTTCCAGCTGCTGACTGTGGAGGAGGCTGAGAAAAGTCCTGTTGGTTTGGGCCGAAAAGAGCCTGAACCCCTGGAAAAGCCAAAGTGAGTATCTGTGTCATCACCTTTAACATGGATGGACAGTGCTGTGCTTTCAGCAGCTCTTTGTGTGGGGACAGGGAGCACCTGCTTGTCAGGAAGCTGAGAGCAATCACTGAGGCCCTGGGTGGTGGGGACTGCAGGACTGGGGGTGCCAGGGCTTCCCAGAGCTTAAGGGGGTCCAGGAGGACTTGTAGCTGCAGCAACTGGGCCAGGGCTGATCTCAGTGAGGTACTCAAGGCAGCTATGCCTTAACATTGCTTGTACAGAAGGGCAGCTCTGGTTTAACCACATGAATACACCTGTTAGCTACATGGGTACAGAACAGCTCTGCAGGGGCTGTCCTGAGGCTCAGGTCCTGTTGTCTCCAGCAATTTCACAGGCACTGTAGTTCTTGCAGCTCCTAGGACGATCCTGCCTGGAAGGATCATCAGGAGGAGCTGGCGACCCATGAGGGTGTCAGAGCACTAAAGAAGAGGGGCCAAGGTACTGCTCTGTGGGTCGAACCTGTGCTTCATCTATTTTTCCTTTCCTGTTCCAGCCGACCAAAAACTTCTTTCAACTGGTTTGTGAATCCCATGAAAACCTTTGTGTTCTTTATCTGGAAGCGGTACAAGAAATACATAATTGTGCTGTTCATTGTCGCTGTTCTGACCATCTTCCTTGTTCTTTTGATCTACACCATGCCTGGATACATTAGTGAGAAGATCATCAACGGATAAATGCTCTTCAGCACAGGACTGCTCAAAGACAGGGGTGATCATTGCAGGAACTGAGACTGGACCAGAAAGTTTAAGGAAATCCTGCAAGTGCAGAGGCCACCTTCAGAGTGAGAGACCTACAGAAGTGGCCTCTTTTGGGGGAGACATTTTTCATGCTAAGTATCCATGAGATGCTAAGAAACCAAGTAACCAACCTACTAAATAAGGAAAACTCCTTGAAGGACAGTTAACAGCTTTGGGAAAAAAATAGTTCTTTGTGGGATGGGTGTGGGAGGGTGGGAAAACAGGGTCTGCTGGGGCTGTCCCCACTGACATGGCAGCTGAAATCAGCTGTTGCCATTGAGAGTGATTCTGGCAGAGATGAGGACATACAGAGCCCATCCATGCCCCAGCTTGACAACACTTGGCACTCCCCAGGTTACCTGAAGAGTTCGAAACACACTGTACAGGGGGAAGGCAAGTCTGGTGTAGGGTCCTGGTGGAGGTAGGCCCTGAAAGACCTTTGAATGGGCCTCTCCAGAGAGAAGAATGACAGAGCCAAGTTAGCCATGAACTTCCTACTGTGCCATGAGCACAGGATAGCTCTTGAAGTTGGCTCTGAACATGGTAGCACTCCCTGGGACACGGACTTTCTGGTTGTCACTCCTTACAAGCTGCTTAACAGCTTTTCCTGCATGAGCTGGGTTGGATTCGGGCTTACTTTGAACTTAATTTCCACAGAAATAAAAGCTCCTTGGCCCCTCTCTCTGATGCTACTTGTGTTTTATACCTGCTTTCTGGAGCTGGAGGCCAGCCTGCTGCAGGCAGTCCTTGCTGATGCCCCTTTGCCCTTCCTCCCGGATAGCACAGTGCTGGGACATTGCCGTGGGGTTGTCGGCATGAATCTGTATTGAGGTGTTGGGCTGATGTAAATTAAATGAGACTTGTTCTCAGCACGGTCTCTGGTGCCCCAGGGTTCCTGTCTTCTGCACAGACAAGCCCTGATGTGATCTGATCTCAAGTGGAGGTGCTTCAGCCCTGAGTTTTGACAGGACAGATTCCTTCTGAGGGGTCTCATCCTGGTGCAGGAAATGATGCTCAGAGGGACCACTGTGTTTCCAAAGAAATTAACTGAAACAGAATTTTATAGTGAACATAGCTGACTTTTGAAGGGGGGGAGGAATAGAGTAAGTTTTGTGGAGAAAACTACCTGGGCAGAGCCAAGTAGGCAGATAAGCATCAGGTGAGGACTCTGGCTGGAGCTGAAGACAGGTTTAAGTGGGGGGGCATATATGGTGCTCCCCCAGGGGGGCTGGAGTTCAGTTGCTGGGTGAGATCCCCAGAATGGCAAAGGGTAAGCCCCCTCTCCCCCCAGGGTCCCTTGGGCTGTAGGGGAGCGAAGCAGGCTGAAAGGGCTCAGGTCCTGTAGCACCTGTGTGGGGCTAGAGCAGGGCTCTGCTCCCACTGCTGCATCACACCCAGCTTTTCTGCAGGGCTGGTTGAGTGGGATGTTGCCTCCGCAAATGGTGCCTGGTGCACCCCAGCAGTGAGCAGTGCACCCCAACACACCTGGTGCACCTCAGTGGTGACCCATCCATGCCAGCAAGCCCAGTGCACGCCAGCATGCCCTGTGCACAGCCCCAGGCAGCTCCTTGGCTTTTGCAGCCATGCTCAGCCATGTTTTCTACTGCGCCTCCAGGCTGGGTCTCCCTGTGACTCAAAGTGTGTCTGCATCAGACTTCCTCAAAATATTTCACCTTGTAATTGCAGGATTTGTGTCCGTGCTGCTGTGTGCCTGGGTATGTGGGTGTGTGTCGGTGTCTATGTTTGGGGTGCGGGTGTGCAAGGCAAGGGGCTCCCTCCTGCCCTCACTGCTGGCAGCAGCATGACCCCAGCCCCCTGCCCAGCCCCGGCATGATCGTGGTTACAGCCAGCAGTTCCCCTTCCTGGTGTCACATCACTGCAGCACCATGGCAGCCCTCATCTCAGTGTGCGACTTCGTGCGGCAGGCGCAGGAAGACCTCAGCTCACCCACCACCTCTGCATTTGCCAGCCACATGGGCCGCTGCAAGGCCACTGCCAACAGCCTAGAGGAGGTGAGCAGGGGTGGGGGACCGCAGGGGTGCACCCCGAGGGGTTGGGGGGGCCATCCCCATTGTGGTCCTGCAGGATCCACACCCCAGTTCAGGCATCACCATATCATTTGTCACCATGAGTGGAGAGTGGTGCAAGCGTATTTGGATGTCTGCAGAACGCTCAAAGCAAAGATTTGGTGAAGGCCTGTGATGGGTCGTGGTGGTTGGGTGACAGGTGTCAGTTGGTGAGGACAAGAGCAAAGGGGGAGAGGTTTGTGCAGGAAGTCTGTATCTTGTACCAGGCTTGCATCACATGGTAAAGAGAGGAGAGAACCCTTCAACCAGACAAACATCAAACTAAAAACAAAACAAAAATTTAAGGGAAGTTTCTGGAAGTGGCAGGATAGTTTCCCTGCTTGCCCAGAGTTAACCTGTGGGATACCTTGTTGTGGGATGTTCAGAGGCCAAATGCGTGAGTGGTTCCAAAAATTCATAGATGGGGTGAGAGCTGGCTGCTGAGCACACTATCTGACACACAATTTATTTGGACCAAATGCCTTTGCTTTCTACCCAATGGCAAAAGCCAGAAGACCATGATAGGCATTATCAGGTGTGGTGTGGGAGGTAAAGTGTCTGCTGCATGCTGCTGGCACATGAGAGAGTGAGCAGCAGAGCTTGATGCCCTGGGGAGACTGTGAGTGAGGGCAAGGCCACCTCGCTGGAGGGTCCAGGCTTCCCATTGAGACCATCCCACTGCTCACCTAGACCCCCCTTGGGACTTAGCTCAGAGCTGTGGCCAGTATAGAGTAACCATCATGCTGGCCTGCTCCTGGGCAAATCAAGGTCCATGAGATGTTGCCACTGCAGCAGGGCTCTCTGCATGGTGGTCCAGAGGTGTCCAAGCCTCTTGGTAGGTCTGGTAAATGTGCTGGGAGCAAGCAAACTGTGCCATCACCATGTCACCTCTCATTATTTTGTAGTCTCAGCAGAAGAGTCTGTGGGCTGTGACTGCTGCACTGCCCTGAAGTCCCCCAGCGCCTGCAGGCTTGGAGCAGATGGGGAGCTGTGCTCCTGTAGATTGTTTTGTCAGTGGTAGTCACTGAGGGTTTTTCTTCTCGGGCCTCTGGGCATGGGGCAATTTCCTTGTGTTGCTTAATTTTCAACTGCTACTCTGCCACTTGCACACCAAGAAAAGCTAAAACATCAGTCCTTTAAAACAGTGCCGCTACATCAGGAAGCTGTGGTTAGAGAGAAACGCGGCTGAACTTGTTCATGTCTGCAGATCCCCTGGCCTGGGGCTTGTGTGTCAGAGTGGACATAAAACTCAGGACACGCTCTCACTGCTCTGTGGCAGCAACCCCCAGTGTGGTCTACAGGAGATCTGCTGCAGTGAAAGCCAGGAGCGATGGTGGCCAGGGAGCAGCATTTGTGTAAGCCAGGAGACACGGGGAGGTGATTTCATCTCTGGGTGCAGATCAGGGCTGGACTGAGCAGATGGTGAGGAGAAATTCCAACATCGGGGGGTATCCTCAGTTGCTGTTGCTTGGGTGTTGGTGTTGGCAGGAGCTGCCTGTCCTAGAGGAAGGTCCCCTCTGCCTGCATCAGCACTGGCCTGCGTCTTGCTTCCTCCCTGAGACTGATACGTTCTCACCATGCAGTCAGGTGAGGCTGACCAGGCTCTCACCTGGGACTTAATTCCTTCTGACCTGTGCAGTAGCTCAGCTGACACCTCTGTGCGCTTTCACTGGGAAGAAGACTCTGCTGCTGGATAAGGGCAACTGGGAGCTGAAACTGAAATGTAAAAATAAATTAGTTGAAATATTTTAGCTGTGACATAATGAACTACTGGTGTGCATGACCAAAAGGTGAAGTGAACGTTGGGTCTTCATCCTCTTTAAATGTAGCTTGGATGTCTTTCTGGAGTCTGCTGAGTCCCACACAGGGTATAGGCTCATGCAAGGTTGTCTTGTGTTAATGCCACATCCATGCAGATGATGTGAACTGACAGTCCCTCCCAGTCTGACTTTTTCTGCACTCTTGAAAATTAGTGAGAAGGGAGAAGCGTGCTGTGACCCCAGCACCCTGGAAATCACAGTCAGGGATGAAAACAGATCTAGAAGAGCTGGAGCCACAGGGTCTCACCTCTGAAAGGCAGATACTGGTGACTTCTTCAGTGGCTCAGCCAGCAACTTTTACTGATGGCATAGGGAACATTGTACAGCAAAGAGTCTAAGTGCATCAGCAGATTCATGCTTGTAACAGAGAACAGCACCAGCAGTAAACACAGCAAGAGCCCATCCTTGAGCAAGAAAAGCTGTGGCACAGCGTGCGCTGAGCCTGGCAGCAGTGTGAGCAGCAGAGGGAAGGGGTGCTGAGCTGCAGGAGAAGGACATCAACCAGTTTTCCACCATTGGAGGCAGGTCCCCAAAGCTTCCTTCACACAGGTCACACAGCTCGGCTGAGTGCAGAACCAGATCCGTGCCTGCAAGGCAAACAGACGCAGGTAAAAGTACAGGCAAGGAAGGGAGCTTGGGCTTTCCTGTGCCAAGTGCCAGATATGCAATTTCCTGCCTTGTGGCCAGCAATGGTACTCGTACACACTTCATGATCCCTGAGGGGAGTGCTGCCTCTTGCGGCTGGTCTCACTGGATGGGGAGAGCCTGAGGAGGTGGATGTGCCTGTTGGTGATGGCCTCTGGGATGCCATGGTCCAGTCTCACCCTGGTGTTGCTCCTCTGAAGCAGAGAAGCCTCCTGGCCTGAGAGTATCGGCCTAGCAGGCAGGGAACTGTCCCGGAGGTGTGGATGGGTCACTTGTGGACCAAGGTTACACCTTCAGGGAGGGAATTGTCAGGAGAAAGGAAAAGGAAGGCCATGAATGTGGGAGATTTGAGCATCTGTGTGTGGAGAGCAGAATCACAAGGGGCCTGGGCCGGCTCCAGGGACACTTTGGGAAGGAGGCATCTGTCCTGATCAAGGTGGGTCCCAGCAGAGTGGGTGAGTGAGTGGAAGAGAGGCTCTGGAGGGGTTGGAGATCAGGGTCTCAGTGGCAGCAGGCTCCGGATTACTCCCACCAGTGCCACGTACAAGGGCAGGCAGGGAAGGGAAGAGGTTGAGTGGCTATGGGGCTAAAAAACTGCTGTAGGGTTGAGGAGATGAGACATCTGGAACTGGGAAAGCTGACCTGGTGGAGTCTCTGTAAGGGAGATGGCTTCACATAAGCCAAAAGGGCTTCACCTGCAGAAGGGTGGAGGGATGCCTAAGGTTAGCAATGCAATGGCTTAGAAAAACTGCAGGGAGCTATGATCCAGGAGGTGACTGCACCTGTCTCACAGTGGTACTCACAGTAACTGCATGGTTGTGAGAGGGATGCAATAGTCCTTGAAGTAATGGATTAACCTAAAGTCATTTTCTGAACACAGAGGTATGAGTGTCTCCAACAGCTTTGCTGAAGTACATGGTCAGGTGCTTCAGGTGCCCTATCCCACCACTGCCTTTCTGACCTTGGCTCATAGGGATCTCTTTGAACCATAATACTGGATTCCCTGGATTTGCAATGCTTGGTGTGAGCATAGTCTTGCTGGTCCTAGAGGTCTTATGTTAATTGCCCGTGGAATCTTTAATTGAGGGATTGGCTGGAAAACCCCAGTCCCAAACTGGGCTGGACAAGAAGGTGCAG